AAGCGGCGCGGGCGATGGCGCGGGTGCCTCGGGAGGACGCGCAGGGGTGGAAAACGCAACTGTTCGCCATCCGGCGTTGTTTGCCAGCGCTCATCCGCTTTGAGGCTGGGCCTTCGTGTTCCAGTTAGACGCTGTTGATGCACAAAATGGGTATTTTCTCACTGTACACATTATTTCTTGTAACAGATAATTTTGTCTCACCTTCTTGGGTTCATCTCTACAGCATAAATAGGCACCAACAGATTGTTGTTAATCACATCTTTCTCCCTGGCAATACGAATCATAGCATTGGGTTGCTATGCCTATCAGGTAGAAAATACCAAACCTGCCCCTCCAGTAACTAAAAATCTAAAGGTGATTTGGCACTGTGAAGTGCTTGTAATCAGGCACCCAGTTACGCTCAGCCGTAGGACACACATGCTCAGAAAACGAGTAACAGTGAATCGGTGGCTTGTAATTCACACACAGTCATGGTAAATGCACGTGCAAATTAGGTGTATGCTTGTTGTGAGCATTTTATAAGATCAGCTTGCTTGATTTTAAATGTTTGGACGCATGTCTCTGCTTACATACAGACCCCCAAAGCACATCATCTACTCTACTCCCGTTTACGTGTTGCACACAGTGGAAATCTCCTAGGGTAATTGGCTATAATGGCCCAGATACTGTTACGTAAATACCTTTTTTAAAAAAAGAAAAAAAAGAAATAAGAATGGAAGAACATCAATATTTTATTGTTCAATTTGGCAATTAGGGCTGCCACGTTACTTTCCACAGGTTCCACGTGGTAGTAAATTCCTGGGAAGGCCCCACTCTAAAGATGTTAAGCAGGTCTGATAAAAGCACAGCGTCAGCCCCAGGCAGCAGTAGGAATCCAGAACCCCCCAGGGTTTTTCTGAGGTGAACTCTACCTTTTCTCACTGGTTCTGATGCATTTCATTTTGAAAAAAACCTGCTTGATCTGATCCTAGTGCCATTTTGAAATTACCAGATTTTCATTGCCTTTTTAATGGCAAAGCCAATTCTTTCAGTCCAATTCAGCATCATTAAATTGTCAGAATAGCAGCTTCCTGTTTGATTCTTAATTATTCCTTTTTATTATATTTAAGACACTTAATTTTTTTAAAGTGGTTTACTCTTCTTTGTAATGATCTGTTGTGATTAGAATCTCTTTTATATTACACTGAAGTTTTAAGGGTATACATTGGTACTTCTAGTCTAAACCTCTATTTTCAAGGTATTTAGAGGATTAAATTCTAGGCTGACTCTCTGTTGTGAATTCACTTTGATGTTTAATAAAAAAAAGGAGAGACACAATGGGAGAAATTAAAGACGTAAGGGACAGCTCTGAATTTTAGGGGCATATTGTCATGCACGGAAATCTTCAGGCATCTAGATAAGAATATACCATAGCCTTAACTTTGAATTTCCTTCCTTTTGTGAAATTAGTCAGGCGGCTGACATTACTTAAACAGCCTTTTTCAATTTAAAATTCCACCCTCCTAACGTTCTGCGGCAGGACCAAACGGTGTGAGTGTTTCAGAGGTGGTGTTATGACAAGGGTGGATGTATACATAATGGGGACTTGAGCGGTGAGCCCAGGAACAGCCCTCGTGCGGCGTGTAGGAAGAGCTATCACACGAGGTGGCCAGGCCTGTGTTTACACAGAAAAAGCTCATATTCTATATACTACAATTACATTAGCACGCTGCCTGTGATCATATCTTGTTTCCTTGATGCCTAGAGATGGGGAATATAGGCTGTGATTATTGTTACAGGCTTTAGCAATACGAAGATAGGAGCCTTGAAATACCAGCAATTAGCGTTCGTGCCTAACAATAGCATTGCCGTGGGGCTGTGTACAGAGCAGAGCACAGGGAAGAGTGGGCGGATGACACGCAACCTGCCCCGCTCGCGCTACCCGCAGCTGAAACGCAGTGCAAGTTTAGGGGGAATTACGCACCTCTCGGCCAGCGAAGGTCACGCCGCATGCTGTGGCCTCTATGTTTGCATCCTGCTTCATGTCAGTTGTGCGTGGGAAAGGTTTCACACCTCCGCAGCAGAGCTGCTGCTGCTGCAGAAATGCGTGGTTACTGAGGGAAGAGAAATCTTCCTGGGAGTTCTAACCGGGGCGAAATGTCACAACCTGATTCCAGCACAGCTTCGCTTCCCAAGTTTCAGAGCAGCCGTTCCTTTCCCTTAGACCCCCCTGTGCTGGCAGCAGCTCGGCGCTCCCTGTATCGCTACAACCAAAGTTACCGCAGCCCGCAACAATCGCAACACAGCCAGCAAAGACCACAGGTGAGACGCTGCGTGAAACGCTTCGCACGGCCTGTTCCGCGCAGGACAATGTCCAGTTCGCCGCAGCCCTGAGCACTGCAGTACGGCCGACCTGCGACCCGACCGGAGCCTGCCCGCCAGCCCGGCCACGCCGTGTCCCGAGGATTCACCCTCTGAGCTCCTGCGTCCTCCCTGGGCCGC